TATGATTTGAAAAGGTAATTTTGCCAACATCCATCTATGCCGTATAGTCAATGGCGTGGCAGCAGTTTAGTTCTTATTGATTCTTTTGTTTCGGGTCCTACTAATACTTGTCTTGACTGCGAACTTCCCTCATGTCATGCATGACTCATGATGCATGGTTTGTTTTCATGTCAAAAAATCTTGGCCAAGAATCAAATAGAAAATATTAGTGAAAAACCCTAGTTCATGGGCATACATTTAAAAACCCTAGTTTAAATTATTAGTGAAGCTGCATAATGAAATCCAATTCAATAATGAGAGGCAAATCAAAATGTAATAAATGAAAGCACAAGTTTTTCATTATATATTTGGTTCAAACTTCAGTGTACAAGCATCAAAACAATGAGAGATCATCCAAAGTTAAGTAAACACAAGAGGAGGTTTCTAATTATTTTTTTTGGGGTACTAAATAACACTTGGATTCAAAGATGCATATTCAAGCACCTCCTTGTTGTTTTCAAATTTGATCATGTCTTCTTCCTTCAAAGTTAAGGACGCTTCTAAGCCATCACCATCTTTTGTATCCATCAATATAATTAAATTCTTGGAATCTACATTAGGGGTGACAACCCATGATGGCTTTCCCCATCCGAAATTGGATGTGTAGAAGGGAAACCTGCACCAACTGGTGCAACTGTAGCTGTCTATATCATCCCTTATAATGAGGTTCACAACCTCCTTGAAAAGTTGGCATAAACCCTCCCCATTAACTCCGTTTCCATAGTTTTCTTTAAATTCCTCAATTCCCCTCCTCAATATAGTAACCAAGCTTTGAAGATCATGATAATCTACTTCAACAATTTCTTCCTTCTGTCCTGCAACCAACCCAAAAACATTCCCCAGTAAGTCTTTCCCTGCCAAGACGCTAACAAGTACTCTCCTCATGTTCACCGTTTGACACCACGCTGAAGGCATTACCGACCCCAAGTTTGATCTTGATGCTTCAACTGCACACTTCCAAATGAGTGCAGAGACGACTTCAACACGCGTAGGATTTGGAACGGTGGTAGTGGCAGCTTTGGACTTGAGGGCAGCAATCTTTGAGGCATCAAACACAAATCTCCTTGTTATGCACTTTTCTTTGATACTGGAGTTTGCGCTGCCACTACCAGGCGTTTGCGGTGCGTTTAGGAAATCTAGTGGTGGGAAAAGAGAAGCTGCAACACCAAATTCTGCAGGAGGCACCACATCATCAGTAGTACTGACTGAGCCAAGTGCTATTGCAGCCCAGCTGTTAATGAATTTGCTCAGAGTAGAAGCATCCGCGACCTTATGTGAAATGTTGACTCCGATTGCTAATCCACCACACTCAAAGAAGTTGGCCTGGACTTGTAGAAGATAGCTTGTATGACCAGATGGAAGCAGTTTCCATAGCATCCCAAGATCTGGTCTGTCCAAAATCATTGAGATGGGGTAGTTAACTTGGGCCTCAAGAAATGCAGCCCCATGGTCATTGCAACTGATTGAAACATTATGTTGGAATTCCCCTGCAAAAGGATAGAAGTGAGTGAGGGCTTCGCGTAACGATTTCTTTAGAAGCTTGGATCTTTCAACAACCAAAGAATGATAATGATGATCAATATCGTTGACCTCATCACTGTTAGTGCTGGGATAGAAGAGAAGTAGTGGGATATAAATTTGAGGAATAAGCTGATCAAAAACAGAGAGGTTG